AAAAAAAAAATTTAATTGATGCTGACATGTGCATATATAACAGAGGCAACGGTGCACGTGCTACACGTGACCCTCCGACGTTAAATTTTGCCTCATTTCCTCAAACTCAAAAATATGAAGGATAAAAAATCATGTATTGTAATAATATGAGGGGTAAAATGCCTCAAATTCGAAAAGTTTATGGGTAAACGGGTACCTTTTGCCCATTTTGGAGTTAGGAAAACTTTAGATATTCTGAATGATCACTTCTTTTGGCCACATCACGTTACACACGAAACGTGATGTTGAAAGGATCTGTGAAAGGTGCATAACATGTAAACAAGCAAAATCTAGAGTTTTACCACATGGTTTGTATACTCCTTTACCCATACTTACTGAACCTTGGGTTGATGTATCTATGGATTTTTTTTTGGGCTTACCAAGGTCAAAAAGAGGCCACGATTCTATTTTTGTTGTTGTTGACAGGTTCTTGAAGATGGCACACTTCATTCCATGTCATAAAACTGACGATGCAACCAATATTGTGGATCTATTCTTCAAGGACGTTGTTCGTTTACATGGCATTCCAAGGACTATTGATGGGAATCAAGACGACAGCATATCTACCACGTCATGTGATCCATTACACACCCAAGGAGGTCCAGTCACGCGAGCTAAAGCTAAGAAGATGCATGAAGCTATAAATGGCTTATTGAGCAGATCTGGGTTGAAAACAACATACAACAAGAAAATCGAAGCTTGGATGATTATCAAGGCATGATAAACATCATTCAGGTTCAAGAGAAGCTTAATTAAGGTCATTTATGCTAAATTACACAGTTTGCGTCAATCTCGCAATTCTGTCACAATTTGTAACAAACTGATATTTCATGTTACTTTAGGCTACTTTTAGTGATTTTCACCTTTTTTTATATTATTTTGGGCTAAACATTCATTTATTTAAGGCCCAATTCGTGGTTATTATGATTAGGGCTTAAGGTATTAGTTTCCTATTCTGATTAGAATTACTTTTTCCTATTTAAAGGGGCTTGTAACCCTAATTGTGGAAGCTATTGAATTTGAGTTTTAAGAGACTTTTCTCTTTGGTTCATTTCAGAACTTTACAGAACTTATCAAGATTATTCTTGTGGCGTTCTAACCTGACTTATCATTCTCATTCTTAATCGTTCGAGGGTGTGGCGTCAACCAAATTTATACCTCTGGTTCTTGTTGCGTCATAGACAACGGGTCAAGGTTTTTACCTTTGGTTCTTGTTGCGACATAAACAACGGGTCAAGGTCCTATTATAAACCTGATTTAGCTTTCCTGGAGTTTAGAAATCCCTTGTCGTGCTGTGGGTCTCCTTGTTCTCTTTGGGGTTCTCATCATCTTGGTATCAGAGCATCAGATCTCTAAATCAAGTTTGCGTATCTTTAGTTTTCAGTTTTTACATCAAGAAAAAAAAATTAGGGTTCTTTTCTTTTTTGTCTGCAACTCTTTTCATCTTGAATCTGTGTTGCTGGTTCTAAAGAGAAAAAAAATCCAAGAGAGAAAAGCACGAAAAAAAAAAAAAGAAAGAAAAAACGAAAAAAAAAAAGGAGAGAGAAACAAGCAACACAATTCTGTGGTTGGAATTCCTTATATAGAGAAGAAATCTGTGGCCAAATGGCCAAATCCTTAAAGAAGAAGGAATCCTACTCCAATAAGGAGTTGGAAATTCTCTTTGAGTTCTATTTAAACAAGGAGATAGCAATTTTGTT